CGACACCAAATACTCCTACATAAACTTTTTTTAATACAACAATTATAAATTTATTTCATTGACAAACAAAATCAGAAAAAAATTAAAAACCGAAAGATTATGTTGTTTTGATAGTCTTGATTTTATTTAACATATGTTATATGTGTTAGAAACAAATCATAGGTACTAGGTAGAGGCTTTGTTGAAGTTTCCGTTGTCGATAGGTAGCGCCTTATGGAAGTTTCCTGTGTCGATAAAAATCGGACACATGCCATAAAGCGGTTAGCGAAGCTAACCGCTTAAAAATTAGTTGTTTTCACGAAAAATACATTACAATGAAGCGCATTGAAGTGGTAAAATTTCCTGTTTGGATGGAACGTTTTGAGCTATCTTTAGACACGCCCATTTCTTTAGAAAGGAAAATTCGGTCAAATGTTTCAATCGAATACCTGTAGAACAGGTATTTCATAAATATAATAGCCAATGAAATTGACGATCTACATAAACACCGAGTAAGCACGTGTTCGACCTATATATGTGTTATAGTAACCCCGATCAACATGAAAAAATCACAATTATGTACAAATCCGTTGCAATGCGTGTTTTACATAAGCGGGAACTCTTTACATAGCTCTTTCTTATTTAAAAATCTTCATTTCAGTGTAACGCATGTTGCTTGTCGCGGAAAGTTTAGTGTCCCAAAACATTACGACGAATATTCCTTTCTCGTTTCTAAAGAAATGGGCGTGTCGTTATGTTATAATTGACGTTCAAAACATGGCTCAGAACCTCTCATCCAAATGGAAAATTTTACCACTTCAATGCGCTTCATTGTATGAATCCAAAAAATCTAATAGCGATAAAGAACACTTAAATCCACGAAGAAGCAGCTTTACGTACAAGTAACATTAAGGAATGGATTTTGAATTAGATTGCTGTTGGCTTTACATTCAAAGACACCCTCATCATCTAAAGTTACGTTTATGATGTGTAGCTGGCGTCCATACTGACCGACGATGTATTTATACCCGCACTTTCTAAAGAAAGTTCGAACAATTTATATTGTTGTTTCATATCTTCCGTAAAAATCCGTCCGTCTGTCACACTTTTCTTCCCTGAACTCCTCCTACATTTTACACAGTAGCTTAATCATCTTTTAAGAGATGGTTGGTGGTGTCATGTAGATGTGCAGTAAGGTTTCGGAATTTTGATTTTGCCCCGGGGGGTCAAATCAGAGAGGGTCGAAAAATGACGTTTTTTGTGCAAAAAGTCCCGTCTTCCCTAAACTCCTTCTACATTTAACTCAGCAGCCAAATCACCTTTTGGGGGATGATTGGTGGTGTCATGTAGATGTGCAGTAAGGTTTCAGAATTTTGATTTTGCCCCGGGGGATCAAATGGGGGTCGAAAAATGACGTTTTTTATGCAAAAAGCCCCATCTTCCCTGAACTTCTCTTACATTTTACTTAGCAGCCTAATCATCTTTTGTGGGATGATTAGTGGTGTCATGTAGATGTGCAGTAAGGTTTCGGAATTTTGATTTTGCCTCGGGGGGGTCAAATAGGGGTCGAAAAATGACGTTTTTTGTTCAAAAAGTCCCGTCTTCCCTGAACTCCTTCTACATTTTACTCAGCAGCCTAATCACATTTTGGGGGATGATTGGTGGTGTCATGTTGATGTGCAGTAAGGTTTTGGAATTTTGATTTTTCCCCGGGGGGTCAAATGGGGGTCAAAAAATGACGTTTTTTATGCAAAAAGACCTATCTTCCCTGAACTCCTCTTACATTTTACTTAGCAGCCTAATCATCTTTTGTTGGATGATTAGTGGTGTCATGTAGATGTGCAGTAAGGTTTCAGAATTTTGATTTTGCCCCGGGGGGTCAAATGGGGGTCGAAAAATGACGTTTTTTGTGCAAAAAGTCCCGTCTTCCCTGAATTCCTTCTACATTTTACTCAGCAGCCTAATCACCTTTTGGGGGATGATTGGTGGTGTCATGTAGATGTGCAGCAAGGTTTCGGAATTTTAATTTTGCCCCGGGGGGTCAAATGGGGGTCGAAAAATGACGTTTTTTATGTAAAAAGCCCTATCTTCCCTGAACTCCTCTTACATTTTACTTAGCAGCCTAATCATCTTTTGTTGGATGATTAGTGGTGACATGTAGATGTGCAGTAAAGTTTCTGAATTTTGATTTTGCCCCGGGGGGTCAAATGGGGGTAGAAAAATGACGTTTTTTCTGCAAAAAGTCCCGTCTTCCCTGAACTCCTTCTACATTTTACTCAGCAGCCAAATCACCTTTTGGGGGATGGTTGGTGGTGTCATGTAGATGTGCAGTAAGGTTTCGGAATTTTAATTTTGCCCCGGGGGGTCAAATGGGGGAAGAAAAATGACGTTTTTTATGTAAAAAGCCCCATATACCCTGAACTCCTCTTACATTTTACTTAGCAGCCTAATCATCTTTTGTGGGATGATTAGTGGTGACATGTAGATGTGCAGTAAGGTTTCGGAATTTTGATTTTGCCCCGGGGGGTCAAATGGGGGAAGAAAAATGACGTTTTTTGTTCAAAAAGTCCCGTCTTCCCTGAACTCCTTCTACATTTTACTCAGCAGCCAAATCACCTTTTGGGGGATGGTTGGTGGTGTCATGTAGATGTGCAGTAAGGTTTCGGAATTTTAATTTTGCCCCGGGGGGTCGAAATGGGGTCAAAAATGACGTTTTTTATGTAAAAAGCCCCATCTACCCTGAACTCCTCTTACATTTTACTTAGCAGCCTAATCATCTTTTGTGGGATGATTAGTGGTGACATGTAGATGTGCAGTAAGGTTTTGGAATTTAGATTTTGCCCCGGGGGATCAAATAGGGGTCGAAAAATGACGTTATTTGTGCAAAAAGTCCCGTCTTCCCTGAACTCCTTCTACATTTTACTCAGCAGCTTAATCACCTTTTGGGAGATGGTTGGTGGTGTCATGTACATGTGCAGTAAGGTTTCGGAATTAAGATTTTGCCCCAGAGGATCAAATGGGGGTCGAAAAATAACGTTTTTCATACAAAGAGCCCTGTTTTCCCTGAACTCCTCTTACATTTTACTCTGCAGCCTAATCATCTTTTGGGAGATGGTTGGTGGTGTCATGTAGATGTGCAGTAAGGTTTTGGAATTTAGATTTTGCCCCGGGGGATCAAATGTGGGTTGAAAAATGACGTTTTTTGTGCAAAAAGCCCTGTCTTCCTTGAAGTCTTCCTTAATGTTACTCAGAAGCCTAATCATCTTTTAGGAGAGTTAAATATTTTGAGAATTATGTAAAACATCAACGTCAAGGGGTAACAAGATGTGTTTGTGAAACACTATGCGCCCGGCGTCAACAAAGTTCGAAAAAGCTATTTTTAGCATATAGTTCACAGTCAAGGTCACAAGGTCATTGACCTTGGTGTTATTTGTAAGAACTTAATTAGTGGGGTATGCATACTAAATATGAAGTCCCTATCTCCTATGGTTCAAAAGTTATGGCAAAAAGTAGAAAAAGCTATTTTTAGTATAAAGGTCACAGTTAACTTCACATGGTCATTGACCTTGGTGTTGTTTGAAAGAACTTTATTAGTGGAGTATGCATACTAAATATGAAGTCCTTATCTCTTAGGGTTCAAAAGTTATGGCAAAAAGTGGAAAAAGCTATTTTTAGCATATAGGTCACAGTCAAGGTCACAAGGTCATTGACCTTGATGTCATTTGAAGGAACTTAATTAGTGCAGTATGCATACCAAATATGAAGTCCCTATCTTCTATGGTTCAAAGGTTATGGCAAAAAGTGGAAAAAGCTATTTTAAGTATAAAGGTCACAGTCAAGGTCACATGGTCATTGACCTTGGTGTTGTTTGAAAGAACCTTTTTAGTGGAGTATGCATACCAAATATGAAGTCCCTATCTCCTATGGTTCAAAAGTTATAACAAACAGTTGAAAAACCTATTTTTAGCATATAGGTCACAGTCAACGTCACAAGGTCATTGACCCTGATGTCATTTGAAAGAACTTTATTAGAGGAGTATGCATACTAATTATGAAGTCTCTATTTCTTATGGTTCAAAAGTTATGACAAACAGTTGAAAAACCTATTTTTAGCATATAGGTCACAGTCAACGTCACAAGGTCATTGACCTTGATGTCATTTGAAAGAACTTTATTAGAGGAGTATGCATACCAAATATGAAGTCTCTATCTCTTACGGTTCAAAAGTTTTGGCCAAGGTTAAAGTTGACAACAGACAAACAGACAAACAGATAAACAGACAAACAGACAAACAGACAGGACAAAAACAATATGCCCCATACCGAAAAAAGTTATAACTTAGTTATAACTTTTGTAACTAAAAAAAGTTACAAAAAAGTTATAACTAAGTTATCGGAGTTTGGAATGGCATGTTTTAAGTGAGGTATAATTTAGTTATAACTTAGTTACAAAAAAGTTATAACTTTTTCATAACTTTTCACTTTTTATTGAACATAAATACAGCAAGTACATAAAAGTTATAAAAAAGTTATAACTACAAAAAGTTATACTTATTAAAATTTACACAAAAAGTTATAAAATAGTTACAAAGTTATACTTTAGTTATACCCAAATAAACAGTGGAAAAGTTACAAAAAAGTTATACCCAAAAAAAGTTATGAAAAAGTTACAAAAAAGTTATACCCGGAAAAAGTTATACCCAGGAAAAGTTATAACTAAAAAAAGTTATACCTATTATAAAGTTATGAAAAAGTTACAAAAAAGTTATACCCCAAGAAAGTTATGAAAAAGTTATAGAAAAGTTATACCTAAAAAAAGTTATAACTGCAAAAAGTTATAACTATAAAAAGTTATACCTATTAATAAAAACTTTCGTAAAAGTTCCAGTGAAATTATACACTGTATGTTAACCTGTTGTGGATTTACTCAGTTATAAGCTTTTAAAAAGCTACTCATTAAAATTTAAAAAAAAAAGAAGATTTTTGATATGTATACAAAAAAGATTATTTAAATATATTAAAGGCAATAACAATTTTACCTAACAAACACGATAAAGATAGCTTGGTTTATTGTCAAATACAACTAAATGAATGCACATGCAATTGTTTTAAAAATTCAAGTGTACCTTATTTTACATCATGTCATCTACAACAGATTGAAATTTCTCTGGTTGTTTTAAAGAATACATTTTTAGCATATAGCAATTAGGGTCTTTGTAAAATTACCTAGCAAACTGCATTCTACTCTTGCTAATTGTATAAACAGACATCACTAATTTTTAAATATTAACACCCTATTTATTTTTGATCTAGCTGTTTTTCAAAAAAAAAAGAAACAGTCACAGTTTCTAGCTGCATACCACCCTCCTTGCACAGGTATCCTTGCAGGTGTACAGTTGTTTATCTTTATTATTTGAAGATAGGCTGCACTGAAAGTTGGCTGAGTTAGCTGACAGACTTAGCCATCGTTTGACAGGCCGCACTGGTAGTAGACCAAGTTAGTTGAAGGACTTGGCCATCGTTTGACAGGCCGCACTGGTAGTAGACCAAGTTAGCTGACACACTTAGCCATCGTTTGACAGGCCACACTGGTAGTAGGCCAAGTTAGTTGAAGGACTTCGGTTGGCCATCGTTTGACAGGCTGCACTGGTAGTTGGTCAAGATAGTTGACGGACTTGGCCATCCCTTGACAGGTCGCATCTGACGGACTTGACCATCCCTTGAAAAGCCGCTCTGGTAGTAAGCCAATCTAGTTGATAGACTTGGTTGTTCAATGACAGGCCGCACTGGTAATAGGCCATTTCAGTTAGTTGAAGGACTTGACAGGCTGCACTGGTAGTCAGCCGAGCTAGTTGATGGACTTGGTCATCCCTTGACAGGCCACACTGGGTCAGCCGAGCTGGCCGAGGGACTTGGCTGGTGGTCTGCGTCCCTCATTTTAGCTGGTCAGACGTCTTGGCTGGTGGGCAGTGTGACTGGTAGTCGGCTAAGTTTTCGTTGAAATATGCTTGCAATTTTAACCTTTTCTTCAATTCTGCAAAAAATTGTAAAGGTTCAAAATTTTGATTATAGATATTTAGATAGTATTTTTCCAGCACTCATTTGCATATCAAATTGAAAACACTCTTCCATATCAATTATTTCAATTTATTAATTCATCCAAAACATGGAAAATACAAGACTAATTTAAGATCTATACTTACAGGAATCAGTTTTAGATTGAAAGATTTATTGAATTTTGAAATGAAAAAAAAATTTACTTTACCTTAAACAATAAAATTGTGAAGAATTTCATGTACTCCAGGTCAGGACAGATTCAGCTCATGGAAACATCATGTACCAATATTCTGCTTTATAAAAAAAAAGAAAATTAATGTTAAATTACTAATTTCATTGCATTAATTAACATTGCAGCTAGATCATGTTATGATCATGCTGATGCTTATAAGGCTTCACAATATTTTAACAGTTCAGGGAATCTATAAACAATTGTGGGAATAAATATGACAAAGAACAACATATTTGATTAATATACTAAATGCTGAAAAATATTATGCGTTTCAAATACTTTCAATTTGTTTACTTCAGTCTTTGTCATTCGACATACCAATCAAAACAAACAAGAAATCTAAGATTCACACGCCTAGAATTGTGTTCATTCTCAATATTTCTTCTTTTTGGAATATTATTCCAGAGGTACTAAGTATACTTTACCAAAATCAATAAAATGTTAGCATAAATATCGCCTTACCAACTGGTTTTATCTCCTTTTTTCTATCAACACTTTCAACATCCAAACATTCAAATCGTCCATGGAAAAATCCGCGCTCTGTTATTGACCAATCATAGAACTCAAAAACGTCACGTGGTCGAAAATAAAAATAAATAAATCATTATTAATTTATTTTAAATGCAAATAAACCTAATTGTGTAATTTCAACCTTAAATTAAAAATATAAATACCAGTTGGTGTTAAAATTTTGAATTTATCTTAGTATCAACAAAACGGACATCGGAGGCCGGCGGCCGCCATATTTGCCGCCATTTTGAATTTAATATTTGTTTATTTGTGAAAATAACTATTATAACTGGGTTATTTAATTATGCAAACAATAAAATCTACATGTACTTGTCATCTGCTTAAATCTTAATATAACTGGCAGTCTTTATTCACAACATCGTAATATCTGTTCAACATGAACATGCACATACTCTATGCTGTTGTTTATCTTTTTAGCCACCCATATTACGACTGATTTTCTTCAGATTTCAAACAACCTGTGTAGAATTGTATCAGAGATTGTGTAATACCCAAGCTGAAATATTTACGATGTGTTGGCCACAAAGGTCACCTAGTACAAACACCTGTCTCACAAAAAACAATAGGGAAATTTACACAGTTTTGCACACGAAGACTTCATGAGATTACATTTCATACTGTTTATATCTCTTGCAGTACATTTATATTTCCCCAGATTTATGAAATATATTCATTCCCAACTTCAGATGTAAGTGCATTATTATAATTTACAAGACAAATATTATGTCTCATCAGGGTCTCAATAAATACGTAATTTTTCTAAGAGAGAGAGAGAAGGAGAGAGAGAGAAATTAATTATTCTCAACTTTAGTTGAAACTTACATGACAAATATCAATTTAAATAGACAATAATATTTATTACACACACATGACATGTACTGTGTACACACCCTCAAACACCACATAGAGAGAGAGAGAGAGAGAGAGAGAGAGAGAGAGATATTCTCATTTATAGATGTAATTCACAAGATTTTATTTCACATCCCTTCTGTTGAACTTGACATGGCTGTGGACAGCATATTTACCAGTATTATGAATGAGAAGTCGATCACTGGTAGTAAACAATATTATTGTTCAGGAATTGACAAAGTTTTCTGCTGCAGTGTTTGAAAAAAAAAAAAATTTTGAACACGATCAAAATTCATTCAAATTAACACTTAGTTAATATGTTATTTTTGAAAAAAAAAAAAATAAAATGGTGTCAAGTAGTATCCATTAAATAACCCCCAAAACTTGTTAATTTATACTGGTAATGCTTGAAAATGGCTAAGTTCAGAAAAGTTATGTTTTAGTTATACATGAAAATGACAAAGTGCAGAAAAGTTATGTTTTAGTTATACATGAAAATGGCTAAGTCCAAAAAGTTACATTTTAGTTATACATGAAAATGACAAAGTCCAGAAAAGTTATGTTTTAGTTACACGTGAAAATGGCTAAGTCCAAAAAGTTACATTTTAGTTATACATGAAAATGACAAAGTCCAAAAAAGTTACATTTTAGTTATAACTTTTTAGCTTGATCGCTTCAAGGTCAAGGTCACAGTGTAAAAGTCATGATTTATTTGGAAAGGTCTTATCACAGGTAATAATATACATGCATTATGATATGAATGCCCTAACTTTTCTCTTTCAAAATGATGAATTTATAACAATTTAATTTTTTTGCAAGTTGGTCAAACTTCTAGGTCACATGTAAAAAAAAAAAAACATGCCATTCTCACAGGTAAATATATATACTAATACATAAGTTTAATATGAATGTCTCTTCTCATTCAGTAGATATAACCGTGATAACCAAGGTTAAATTTATTGAGACAGATCCTCTCCCTATAAACTTAGAAAACATTGACCTCACTATCATTGTTTTTTTATTTGTTTATTTGTTTTCATTTTTTTCTCCTGCTTGTCACGAAATTCTGGGCTGGAATTTTTTGACTGAGATGTGAACCCCCCTCCCTACTCCCGAAAAAAATTCTGGATCCGCACCAGTATTGGCAGTAACTGAATGTCACATCGACAACGGGAGATAACTTCACAATATGAAATTCGTCTAGTGTGGCATGCGATGATCTTTCACCCTTTTTAAACTTTAACCTAATAGTTTGGGTGTATTTTACCCCCCACTATACTAAAACTTCTACTTACCGACTCCCTGTGTCTCAACTTCATGAAATATAAATCCAATTATAACTCAAAATGAATTAATCCAATGCACACCAGACTGCAGCCATGTGCCATTTTGGCGAACCTTCGTCGATTCCATCACCTTATCAGATGAAGTGGGAATCGGCCGAGGTGTGCCAAATGGTGTTTAATCTATAAATATGATAATGGGTGACGCAACGTGATGTGATGTAGAAATTTACATGTTCACATGTATAGTACAAGAACAAATTTTAAATTAATTCATAACAAACGATATTAAATTTTAACAAACCTTTTCCATCTAGCCTATTCCAAAAAGTATGTGCTGTGTGATTGTGGTGTCGAGGGGGGGGGTTAGTAAATTTAAAAAGGTCCTATTATGAGCAAAACATATATCAAAATCTAATTTCAGACGCGGATCCAGAAATTTTTTCCGGGGGGGGGGGTCCTCCTCAGTCAAAAAAAAAATCCTATCCCAGAAATTGACAATCAAAAAAAAAACCTAAAGTAAATCTCACCCAAACGTCAAAAACCTATATCGTGGGGGGGGGTGGGGTGGGAGTAGTGGTGACTTCTATTGCCGCAAATTAAATGTTTAACTTTTCATACTTATTTTACACATATTCGTGTTTACCAGGGGGGGGGGGGGGGGGATCTGCATTTTCCAAGGGGGGTCCATTGTAACTTTTTCCTTGTTTTAGTATATACATTTTTTAACCTTGTAAATTCCAGGGGGGGGGTCCTGACCCCCCCGACAGATCCGTGCATGAATTTACATCATTAATAAAATTCAGACTGGTATATAATGAATTAAACATGTATAAAATAAATATAAGAGGTTCTGAGTTATTGGTCACAGGGTCTGAGAATTTCATACTCAATTTGATGAATACATGTAAATTATAGAATTATTTTGACTATTTCTTTGGAAAGCCGCCCAATATGTAGGAGCGTGTATTTAGAGGCAAACACCTTAGTGCGGGTATTACTGTCTCATGACAGCATCTAGTTGTGGTTTGTTGTTATATAGGTACCATTTTTGTTCTGCCATTCTATTTTTGGAACAGGGCTATTAAAAGCAACAATAAATACTTTTTTATGCATGTGATAAACAAACAATTTTTTTAATTGTCTGAAGTGTTATATATAATTTTATATTCATCGAGCAAAATTTGGGGAAAGAAAAGGTTTAAAATTATTAAGGAAACATGCTTACTTTCCAGAAAAAATACAGACAAGGGTAGCATTTTCTCCAATGAAAGCTTTGTCGCCCCTTTGATAAATTGCCTCTGGGGAGATGCCTTCAAAAGACTCTACAAAAGTTACGTAAGATACATAGTGGTATATAAATAAATACAACATTTTTTTTTAGAAGATTTGAATCTAAAAATTATCATTGAATCCAAATGATAATTGATAATTTTCTATTGTTCACATTTATTAAACGTACAATGTCTCTAGTCATTTTAAGAAATATGAGATCAAATATCAAAAAAGGAAGAAATAAGAAAAAAGATCTTGACAATTTGTCAGAATGAATTAAAACAAAAGTGAAAAAGAAACAAGAAGTCGATAGATTACACGATAAAGTTTGTACTGGTTTTAGATGACGAAGCGCGTGACAATCATTGTAATTTCAATATTTTTTAATTTTGTGGATGAGAGAAGTAAGGATCTTCAAGCGGTTATCCAACTCCAAATCAAATTTCTTTTAATGTAGACTTAGATAGAAGCCTGGAATGGCACGTGGTGGTGAACATAACGAAGTTTTATTGTACATCTCAGCAAATCAGAGAGATAATAAA